TTCTTAATCTTCAAATGACTCCATGGGTGAAGAAGATTATTATTGACCCATGCAGTGCCAATGGTGCTCTGAAAGTCAGTGGGCACTTAAAGGGACCATATAACACTATTTTCTTGTATCTATGTTATAATGTTGTTTGCTCAGTGCATACATACCTGGCATTGTGTTTTATTTCATTCACATATGTCCTGCATATTTAGGCTAAGTTCTTCTCTGAAACAGAAAACACCTTCCACTTTCTGATGTCATGTGGTTATACTAGGGCTGTTACAATAACCAAAATATTGTGATATTGTATCGTCAGAAGTCTCAATATATCAGATTAGCAGTTCCTCTTCTTAAATGCATTGTTCTTTAGTAGGAACAGCTAATAAACATAGGGAACTACATGTCCCATGATTCATTTCAGCACAGACAACATGAAGAAATATGTTTTTACCTGAATTCTTGGGATTCTGACAGAAATAATTCACACCAAAATCTTGTCAAGATATTTTATAAGCAAAAAAGTGTCCAGTCTAGAATTATATTTGCCTCTCCAAAATATCGCAATAAATATCGTACCGGTGGATGTATATCGTGATAATATCGTGCCGAGAGGTTTGGGTATCATTACATCTCTAGGTTATACAATAAATGCTCCATTCACGTGAAATAAAAGTCAAATGTAGCTATTAACTTGAAAACTACTACTTCATGACATGACAAGGTGAAACATAGCGTTTTGAGCTTTGGATATTTGGACAGATTAATAATAAAGGATTACTCACATATGTGTGAATGATCAAAGCAGTTTTGTATAATTTAGGACCTTTAAAAATTTAACTTTTCTGGTGGGACCATCTGCTTGTCTCCCAGAAGTTATTGCTTTGTCTGGAATACTCCACAGTACGGCATTTAAGTTGTCTATCTTGTATTACCTTAATTACGGGAGTTTTTATTGCTCAGAAATTGCCTTGGAAACCCTTTGAGCAGTGTCTTCTCTCCACAAATCTGACCTGTAACTTGAACCTAGAAGAGTTAATGCATCTTTAGCTCCAAATGAAATATTAATAACATTACTTCTGTTGTCATGGGAGTAACATATATCAAAGAACCTATAAGACTTGAGCATTAAATATTTATGTTCTTGAGGGGCAAAGGAGATTCTGTATTTTGTATTCAAAAGCGAATAAGAATTGATTTTATGTGGCTATATTTTGAATGCAACAAGAAACCCTACTTTGCATTTCGCTTGTCACACCGATGTCATGTCTAGAGCCTTCCCACCATCCAGTTGGCTGCGTTCAAAATATAAAACAGCCTCAGTGTTTGTATTTCCCTTTATTTTCTTTATTTTTCAACCTCAGAAGTCATGCTGTAGAGGAAATGTGCTTGTATTCAGGCCCACACACACGATAATCAAATATGGCTGCTATGGATTCACGCACCGTCTGGTCCCGTTTAACCTGCTCAGACAAACATCAAGGATTCAGGGAGCATTGTTCTCCTTCCTTTAGTGTCAATAAACAGTCTATCAGTTGTGTATCTGTCAAATAACATGATTTGCTGGGAGAATGAAAACTAAAGTGTTTTGTTTCATTCATGCATGTTTAACACACAAACCCTGCATATTTAGGCTGAGTTCTTCTCTTATCTCACATTCTGTTCCACCTTGTGATGTCATGTGGTAATACAGGAAGTGCTCCATTGTGTTTTTAAACTCCATGCACCTTCACTAGAATCATTTTGATCATTTCAGCCCTGGAACTGCTGATATCTACTGAACTAAAGGTTTAAAAACAAAGTAGCTGTTAACTTGAAAACTACCGCCTCATGACATCACAGGGTGGAACAGAGTATTTTGAGCTTTGGAGATGTAGACAGACTAATAACAAAGGATTACTCAGACATGTGTGAATGAATCAAAACACAACTCCAGGTATGTTTTTAATGAGGTAACAGCATTATAACATGGCTTAAAGTTCGCAAGAATGCATTTTGTGTAATTTAGGACCTTTAAAGTAGCTAATACAGTAGTCAAACTTGTTTCATAAAATGGTTAAGGAAAATGGTTATAACAGAATGGCCTGCAGCAGTCATAGTACTAGTAATAATAGCAGGGATAAAGTCACCATTCTGACTAACTAATACAGCCAAGGCAGGGCAAGGCAAATTTGTATACACAGTTTGTACACAAAGAAATTTAAAGTGCTTTAAAGAAGGACATTAAAATCACAAAACAAACAAACAATAACACAAGTGCATAATCAAATAATTACTTCCAAATTTACAAGAAAGATCTTGTATTATGTAACTTTGACTCTTTTGAGCTTTAAGCCATGTTAGAATGTTGTTACCTCCTCAAAAACAAACCTGGAGTTGTGTTTTGTTTCATTTACACATGTTCCACCTTGTGATGTCATGTAGTGGCAGTTTTCAATTTAACAGCTACATTTTGCTTTTTGCTCAGTAGAGATTCCAGTTCCTGAGCTGAAATTATCCAAATGATTCCAGTGAAGGTGTAGGGAGTTTAAAAACATGATTGGGCACAGAAATAGCATGAAATAGCATAATATGGGACCTTTAAAGATGATCTGGGATGGTATTTTTATTAATTTATTTGACAGAGACATTGACAAACATTGACACCAGTCATCAGGGGCATATATCCAAATTGTGGGCCCTAGGTACAAATCATCTTGGTGGGCCCACACTACTTGCTGTCTAAAGAAAAATGTAGATTAGAAAACTTTGTCAGGAGCCCCTCCCTTCACTGGGCCCTGTGTAAACAGTACCATTTACCCTCCCAGTCCAACACCCCTGCTAATAATCAATGTCCATGTACATAAGACTAATTTGCAGCCCTCATCCCTGTGAAAGGTGTTGGTTAAAAGGGAGAACACTGGACTTGAGAAAGTTAATAAAAAGTACAGATAAAAATACACACCTAAAAAAGAATGGTCCTTATCTATCCACTCTCCCATGGCAGCTTACTGTTCACTGTTATGAGCAACAAAACAAATACCTGCTAAATACATACTTTTAATGCCAGTCTGTGAAACAAACAGTCCAAACAAAATGATAATATCTCCATGAAGACAAGCTGGAAAAGTTACATAGAGTGCCTTTAAATTGTAACCATTTTTGTTCTTCAGTTTGAAAAATAAGTTGTATATATCTCAAGTGAATTTCACATAAATAATCAGCATAAAATTGCAATTAAAAGAGACAATATTATCAACTCATTTACTTACTAATACAATATGGAAGACTAGGATACATTTTCGTCCTTTTGTTTCAGTAAAGAGAACGACTTCACCATGTGGGCACCTTTTGTTCTGTCTGTAAAACATTAAAATATCAAATAAAAACAAAATTGGCGATGTACAGACTAAATTTAAAAGAAAGCTTACCGTTTTGAGTCATGGGTGGAAGAAATACTTAAGTAAAAGTAGTGATATTGGAGCAAAAAGAAAAAAAACTCAAGTAAAAGTATGACATGAAAAAGTCAACACTAAAAATATTAAAGTATCCATTGTGTACTTAATGCACTTAAAGACTTAAGAGTACAAAGTACTTCACACAGATCTGAGCTGTAATAAAGTTTCAAATGTAGTGAATTTGTTAAATAACTGAATCAATTTTTACTTTTTTTTTCTTAGCTGTTTTTGTTTCTATATTTTGCTTGTTTGCCCTTTCAGCTGGTCTCACACAATTGTAAAAAATACTTTTACTTTTCAGTACAGTTCCAAAATAGAGTGCAGTAGAAATGTAGTAAAGTAAAAGTAAAAAGTATTCAGTGTAAAATCAACTTACAATATAGTACAGATAGTTAAATTGTATACTTAAGTATAGTAGGCTACTATAATACTCCACTACGTTCAGCCACTGTTAAAAACAAAGTACAAGAAACGTGAAATGTTACCTCCTCAAAAACATACCTAGAGTTGTGTTTTGTTTCATTTACATATGTTTGCATTATCAAGGTGGAACAGAGTGTTTTCAATTTGAGAGAAGGACTATGTGTTTAACTTGTAAGAATGAAAGAAAACACAACTCCACGTATGTTTTAATGAGGAAACAACATTATAACCTAGATCAGTAAATAGTGTAATATAGGACCTTTAAAGATGATCTGGGATGATATTTTTAATTAATTAATTTGACAGAGACAAGTAAACATCGTCACCAGTCATCAGGGGTGTATTACCAAATTGTGGGCCCTAGGTACAAATCATCTTGGTGGGCCCACACTACTTGCTGTCTAAAGAAAAATGTAGATTAGAAGATTTTTGGCCCTAGGTAAACAGTACCATTTACCCTCCCAGTCCAACACCCCTGCTAATAATCATTGTCCATGTACATGAGACTAATTTGCAGCCCTCATCCCTGTGAAAGGTGTTGGTTAAAAGGGAGAACACTGGACTTGAGAAAGTTAATAAAAAGTGCAGATAAAAATACACACCTAAAAAAGAATGGTCATTATCTATCCACTCTCCCATGGCAGCTTACTGTTCACTGTTATGAGCAACAAAACAAATACCTGCTAAATACATACTTTTCTTTTAATGGCTGTCTGTGAAACAATCCAGACAAAATGATTGATTGATGATTTTTTTCCTAGCTGTTTTTGTTTCTATATTTTGTTTGTTTGCCCTTTCACTTGGGCTCAGACAATCATAAAAAATACTTTTCAATCCAGTTCCAAAATGTAGTGCAGTAGAAAGTACAGATACCTGCTCTCAAATGTAGTAAGGTAAAAGTAAAAAGTATTCACTGTAAAATCAACTTAAGCAAAGTACAGATACCTAAAATGTATACTTAAGTATAGAAGGCTACTATAATACTATTACTTGATTAAGTTCAACCACTGTAAGAAACAAAATATGAAAAACTCAATCGTTTCCTCTTCCCTTAAGTGCTTTATTTTGAAAGGTCAAACCGGAAACGCGCGCATAAACTCTCCGTAAATTAACGTGGTCCAGTAGTTTCCCAGGCAAAGTAAGCATCAGCAGACCGCGGTACAAACAGGAGACATGGGACTGCGAAGCCACGGCGGTGTAACTTTTTTCTGCGAGTCACCAAAACTGGAACAAACGCGAGAATATTGCTAGAAAAATAAAGCTAAACGGACGTTGTTTCTTCAATGCGCTTCGGTAATTTCTACTTTTGAAGGACCGGAAGAGAAGTTAAATGACCACAGAAGTTATCCGTGCATTTTTGATACCTAGGGCGAAGAACCACACCTTCGCTTAGCTCAACAGGTAAGTCCAAATACCTTGTTAATACAATGTAATATGATGTTAAAATACTTAACAACGCAATTTAACTGCAATGATCAGAGTTTTAGTAAACATAAAGGCGTGCGTAAAAGTAGTTCTATGGCGTCGATGCGTAAAGAGTAACAGGTGGATTCGCGTATTCGCCATATGGTACAACTGGAGCAGTGCAAAGAAAGGTGATAACGTACTCCCTGTTTTATCTTAGAGTTTTAGAAATCCTCGTGTTGTTTGGGCTCGAACTTTTCTAGCATGTTGGCTGTAAACAGAGCAGTTGAAAATGCACCTGTTGCTGTAAACTTTCCATTGACAATTTAATGATTTTTAGTGAGGCGTTTGGAAATAGAAATAAAGCAGCAGAATAAAAACACGATTTTAGTGTAAGATAGTTTTTGGAAAGTCATCTGGTGTTTTTGTTTGTTTGTTTGTTTTACTGAGAACCCTTGTAAATAAAAATAAGTTAACTATTATTTTTATTATTACTACTTATTTAGCGAGTCATTTATACCGCCATATGACTTTTGGGCGCTGCCTGTTCCCCGCATTGGATCCCGTATTTCCTTGTGTCTTACTGTAAACACCTCAAAGAAGATGGAAACCACATTAAAAAAAAAAAAGTGTAAAAATATTGAGCTTCTGGGGTTAATGAGTGAAGACCTGTCTGGCAGTTTGCTGTTTATGTTGGGATGAAGCACAGGAGTGGTCTGGAATAAGTTAACTAATTCCCACTGTGTATATCTGTGTATCTGTGTATGGCCTTGAGGTTTTGTTTGCGCACACAACATAGTCTACACTAATACTGAACGTACAGCCTGTTTGTAATGGTTCAGCATATAGGAATAAGAAATGCATTTGTGATAAGTTACCATTTGGATTCAGCTCTCAAAGGTACTAGGTTATGCAAAATTAACTCTTGAGAACGTTTAGTCACATTATAATGTTACTCATCAAAAACATACCCAGAGCTGTGTTTTGTTTCTTTCAGACACTCATGTTTGAGTAATGCTGTATTATTAGTCAGAGTATTTTGACTCTATTATTAGTCAAAATGCTCCGTTCCAACTTCTGATGTCATGAAGCGGTAGTTTTCAACTTAACAGCTAACTTTTACCTTTTTTTCAGCAGCGATGGGAAATTCCAGGGTTGAAAATATCCAAATGATTCTAGTGAAGATGTTTGGGGTTTAGAAACGCAGTGGGCCACATGACATCACAAGTTGGAACAGTGTTTTCGTTTGAGAGAAGAACTCAGTTTAAATATGCAGGGTTTGTGTGTTAAACGTGTGAATGAAACAAAACACAACTCCAGGTCTGTTTTTAATGAGGAAACATTATAACATGGATCAGAAAGTAGTGTAATACGGGCCTTGAAACAGGGAGGAAGGTATCATATTTAGTTCAACAAGGCATTAAAAGCACATGCAAATACGGTTTGGTTGGAGCAGTAACAGGATGTAAACACGATGGACCTGCGTGGTGTGTTTATATTGTGGTAGTGTAATGACAAGGCACAATGAACAATTTAAGTAAATGCGTGTACCTTTGTTTGACAGATGATGTGTGATTTGAGGCGAGGTAGTTGCAGGGTTATAGTTAATAACGATTAATAAATTTGAAGTTAATAAGTTAATAACAGAAATCATAAGTGTTGAGTTGTGTTGTGTTTTGTTTCATTCACACACGTTTAACACACAAACCATGTATATTTAGGTGGAGTTGTGGCAATATAGGAAGTGCTCCACTGTGTTTTTAAAGTCCATACACCTTCACTAGAATCATTTGGATGGTTTCAGCTCTGGAGTTGACAGTCTTTGCTGAACTAAAAGTAAAAGCTGCAGCTGTTAACTTGAAAACTACCACTTCATGACGTCACAAGGTGGAACAGAGCATTTTAAGCTTTGGAGATACAGACAGACTAATAATAAAGGATGACTCAGACATGTGTGAATGAAACAAAACACAACTCCAGGTATGTTTTTGAGGAGGTAATAATATTATAACATGGCTTAAAGCTCACAAGAGTCAATTTTGTGCAATATAGGCCCTTTAAACCGATACAGATACTGATCTATTTGCATGTACTAACATAAATCAAATATTATCTATTCTAAGTATTATTATTATTATTCATGGTACACACAATAGCCCGTAGTATTTTCCAAAGCATCAATAGAAAAGCCTTCCCTCAAACAATACATGGAGTTGATTTTTAAATAGACGATGTTAAAATGTAACTCTCCTGGTTTAACTTCACCAGACTATAATTTCCTTACAATAACAGACCATTTAAAGGGGGCCCTCGGTTTGGGGTAGTTAGTGATTCAGTGTTTGCCCTATGCTCATAATAGTGTAGTAAATGTATCATTAACTACACCCTTGCTAATTTAACCTGCTCTCCTCTGAGTCCATGTGTTTACTTGGTTACGCTCTGTGGATGGGCCCATGAGAAGAATAACAGCAGCAGGGGAGTTTGGGGGTGTGGGAGGTCCTGGAAATGTTTGATGATAACAGGGGGAAAAAAGTTATAGAAAATTAGGGACCTACCTGGATGACTGAGGGATTACACAGATACAAGACCACATGGTAATATAAAAGAAAGTACTTTGGTTTAATGTTGAAAATCACATTCTGTTGTCTAAAGAAAGAAAATCGTGGTTTCAGAATTGGTACTGAGGATCGAGTCTGTTCCTGTTTCACTATAACTTCAGTCACATATGATCAGTGGTCATATGTATGTGGTCCAAACTCAAGTCTGCCATTCATTCTTTAAATAAAGCTCTTTATTCACGCATGGTTTAGTTTAGTTTTGAGCTTGACTTAGTTTCGGTGTGGGTTACAGATCACCTTTGGTCATAATGTCTTCCTGGAAAGTTATTTTTGTCTTCATTGGTGTATTTATTTGTGCAATAGCAGTTTGATGGCATGATAACTTAACTAAAAACATGCCAAAGATTACAGACGTGAAGTGGTGGAAGGTAATGGAGTATAACAGTAAGTGTACAATACCTAAGTACAATTTTTAGGTATTACAGTGAATATTTTTTTACTTTTACATTTGAGAGCATGTAAACTCCACTACATTTTAGATCTGGACTGAAAGTACAGAGTACATTTCCTTATCGTTTGACACCTGCTGAAAAAGCGGAGACTAATTTTCAGCACAGTTAATTTAAGTTTCCGTCCCAACTTCGAGTAAACGAAATAAACAAAAACTTAAAAATGGCTATAAAGCATTCACTAAAAGTTTGATTTGAAGTTTGGAGTTTAGATTTCTGTCAATTTCTTAGTGGGGCTCCTTATGTTCTCCTGGTTCACATTTGGTTAACCTGGTTTAATTTGAAAGAACACATATTGAGCTGAGCTTATTAGGAATTTATAGCAATATCCAAATCTCTCGATACAATATTTTCACGATATGCATCTCACAGTATGATATTTACTGTGATATTTGGTGGAGGCTAACAAAACTGTGAATTCACTAGTTTTCTATCATAATCCAAATAATTCGGATTTAAAACTGCTTAATAACAGTTCTTTCATCAGGTAGATTGGACTGAAACTGTCTGTTTTTTAGCTGTTGCTGCACCATAATAATGAATCTAAGCAAAGAGACTTGTAATTCGATTTATTGTGATAGCCCACACTCAAATCTGAATTTATGCTTCATCTCATTGAAAGTTGTGCTGGCTATTGACATAATCCTTATCACGATCTGTAATATAGAGGAGAGGATGATAGAAATTAATCCCCTCTTTCGCTCTCTTGACAAGGACCGATTTATTACAAATTGGTTGCCACGACGCCTCACCACGGAAACGCACACCTGCCCAATTAAACCTGGCCTATTCAATTCAGCTGCAGCATCGGAGCCTAAAGGTCGACAGGTTTTCCGCCGACCAATCAAAACTGCCATCACCAGAGACAGCCTATTCATAAAATGTACCTTTACCATATTACTAGCCCATATTATGCTATTTCTGGTCTTTATGTGATGATGTTGTTTTCTCTTCACAAACATACCTGGAGTTGTGTTTTGCTCAATTCATACTCTTCTCTCAAACTGAAAACACTCTGTTCCACCTTGTGATGTCATGCGGTAATACAGGAACTGCTCCAATGTGTTTTTAAACTCCATACACCTTCAGTAGAATCATTTGGATCATTTCAATCTTGGAATTGCGTATCTCTGCTGAACTAAAGGCAAAAGGTAGCTGTTCTAACTTGAAAACTACTACTTGATGACATCACGAGGTGGAACAGAGCATTTGGCTTTGGCGATGTAGAGTCTAATTTTGCAAGATTATTTATGAGTACTGTATGTGAGGGAAACAAAACACAACTCCAGGTATGTTTTTGATGAGCTAACAACATTATAACATGACTTAAAGCTCACAAGAGTCAATTTTGTATAATATAGGACCTTTAAAAGTCGTTAAGTGCATCAGAATTAACTTTGACAATAGCTCCACTCTGAATGGTCTGTTATCAGGTGTTGAAGGTTATCACATCTACTGTTTATTCCTGTTATTAAAATGGGAGAAGGCAGTGGGTGACACGGCGCTATGTTAAAATTATGTTTGACATTTAAAGTGACATTTAAGCATTCGGAAATATCACTTTTAAAAATGAGCTGAAGTGGAGAGTACATTTTGCCACCACCACCACTAGTATGTGTGATTATGATAGGACAATATAACTATGTATAGTTATCGTTATGTTATGTCATAATGCCCCCCACCAGAGAAGTTACATAGTGCAACTTGCTACTACTACTACTACTACTAACTACTACTACTACTACTACTACTACTACAACTACTACAATCGATACTATTACTCCCAAACTGTTCCTCCTAATACTATTATTCCTACTACTACTACAATTGTTACTATTAATACTACTACTACTACTACTACAACTGATGCTGTTGCTTTTACTACCACTGCTGCTGTTGCTACTACTACAAAAAAAATATTTATTTATGT